ACTCGTTCTAACACGCCCCCACGTCTACATCACGATGTGGGAAGATTTGCATAACGCCGCCCAAAGAAAAAGAAAGAAGGAAGCAAAGAAAGAAGGCGTAACTTTTATTCTCGCTGTAGTATTGTTGTTGCCGCCGCTGCCGCCATGTTGTGGAGACGCTGTGTGTTTCGTTGTTCTTCCAAAACTTCCAAAAGAGGACACAACTAGAAATCAGTGGTTAAGTTGTATTTACAACACTGTTCCAAACCAAATATTTGAGCAGTGTAGAGTACCGCTCGTTGTTTGTCATTTCTCCGATCACAAATGCAGACATGTTTTTATGTTTACGTGGCGCGATGCAACGCAACACGTAAAAAGACAGTATAAGTCATTATAATCAGTAATTATGTCCCCACTGGATGCAACAAATGCCTCGTTTATAATGGGTTTTATTGTTTTTGTCTCGTCGCACCGGGACACGACATCACAGTATGGTAAGGGGCGTAACATTTCCGTCAGATGCTTGAGGTATTCTGCCAATCACAACGCACTGGATAGCTGGCCAATCAGAGCACAACGATGAGCTTTGTAAAAATCGACGCGTTTCAGAAAGGCAGGGCGAAAGGAGAAACAATAATGTACAGTATGTGGAAAATAATGTGTTTTTTTAACCTTAAACTGCATAAACACATTTCATTACACCAAATACACAAAATAATGTTATTTTTAGCAACATCATATGACCCCTTTAATTGTGTTATATTACTTGTAGAACATGGTGATGGTTACCCGTTTGATGGGAAGGATGGTCTTCTGGCTCATGCCTTCGCTCCGGGACCTGGTATTGGGGGAGACTCTCACTTCGATGATGATGAGCTGTGGACATTGGGAGAGGGACAAGGTATGTCAGTTGTCTTGCTTCTGGTGACTTGTTACCTCTTTAAACAAGTAGCTGTTTTTTTTTACAGTTTTACTCAAAGTACAAAATTTGTTTATCAAATGTGATATCTCTCTTTCTCCCTCTTGATTTAGTGGTAAAGGTGAAGTATGGTAATGCAGAGGGGGAGTTCTGTAAGTTTCCATTCTTGTTCATGGGTAAAGAGTACACCAGCTGCACCTCTCAGGGTCGAGATGATGGGTTCCTTTGGTGCTCTACCACATACAACTTTGATGAAGATGCAAAGTATGGCTTCTGTCCTCATGAACGTGAGTATCCTTTATGCTAAGTTTTACAGTACAGTATAATTTGACACTCTTCCCATCCAAAGTGGTGCAAAGTTTAGGCCGTTATGTCTCAGACTTGATTTGGGGGGAAAATGTGGGATTGTGAATGTAATACTATATGTCACAATCACTGACTCGTTGAGTTTTGTTCCTTCTTGTGTTGCAGTCCTGTTTACATTGGGTGGAAATGCAGATGGAGCTCCTTGTAAGTTCCCCTTCACATTCCAGGGGGAAAAATATGATAGTTGCACCACCTCAGGCCGGGATGATGGGTACCGTTGGTGTGCCACTACCGAAGATTACGACCGTGACAAGAATTATGGATTCTGTCCTGAGACAGGTCAGTCTATAAGTTTCTGTAAATCTCCAATCCAGAGCAATATTTATTTTGACTTCTTTGAAATCCAAAAATAAGTATAATTTTTATTCAGCAAGTGTGCATGTTTCAAATAAATGGTATTAGTTTGAACTTTATATTGATCAAAGCATCCTTAAAAAATCACTGTTTCCTGTTCTCAAAATTTTCAACCCGTTTCATATTTCTGTTCAGTCAAATTATAGTTCTATAGCACTTTTCATAATGCATACTCTTCAAAACATGTTATAGTGCCTTACAAACCTCGTTGTAAGCAAGCCAAAGGGTCAGTGGCAAGGGAAAAACACATGTAAAACAACAGATGTTTAGATGTTGCTCGAGACTTTTTACCATTCATCCAATTGGACACACATTGACACAATCACAAAATTAATTGTTGGGAGTCATTACTTACTTTAAATCAGTAATGTGTCTGTCTATGCATTTGGTTTTTAAGGCCAGTCAGTCTTTAAAGCAGTTCTCCATTCGCCTCCGCTCTCCATTCACTCTTCAGTTTACAGCAGACTGTAAAAGTTTCTTATTACGAGATATTTTCCATTGTGTTACCGATCTGGCATAAGCAAGTCAGGAGCACAGAACTCCTCATCTGGTTGTAATTCCCTGGGAATGCAGCCCTCTCTTCCTATTTGTGTATATGTGTGTGTGCTGAATAAAAGAGTCACAAAAACAAGTCCAGTGGTGCAAGCCATCACTTTAAATTAGAACTTTGGAACGCAGTCCCATACTTTAGCTGAATTTTAATAAAACACAGCTTTGTTTATGCCATGAAACTGGTGTGACCTTCATTTTGAGTCTGTCGAGTCAGTGTGATTCAGACTGTTGAGTCTGTGTAATTGAGAAGGACTCCTCCCTGATGCTTCTCTTAGCTCATGTAGTTTTTCTTTAGGTTCAAATGCCATGATCTAATATGTGGGTTTACCAATAACTGCAGCTTGTGTTATAGCTTGTGACATCATATAACAGATACACTTAATAACAGTTAACATATCACTGCTTCTTTTGCCTCTCTTAGCATTTTAGCTGTTAAGCATTTTATTTATTTATTTTGTCCTAATCAAGAGCTGTCGCAAACTTGGCCCTTTTTAACGTTTAGAATGCTGTAAATCAAATGTTAATCATACTTTTTAAACCCTCGATGCTTTTATAACACCAGTTTTGTCATTATCAACCTTTAACGTTCTTGGTATTTATTTATTTTAATGACAGCCATGTCAACAGTCGGAGGAAATTCAGAGGGGGCACCCTGCGTCTTCCCCTTTAAATTTCTGGGCAATACTTACGACTCCTGCACCACGTCGGGTCGTAGTGATGGGAAGATGTGGTGTGCTGTCACCAAAAGCTTTGATGACGACCGCAAGTGGGGCTTTTGTCCTGACCAAGGTGGCATAGTGATTTTGTGTCATTATTTGTATAATTTGTAGCATGCAAAATATATTCTGTTGTTGTCATGTCACAAAAAATATTTTAGATTTGCACTCACACAGTCACTTCCTGTCTCTTTCTCTCTTGTTGTGATGCTATACTTATATAATTTTAGTCAGATTAATAAATTGGCCTCTCTCTCTTTTTCTCAGGCTACAGTCTATTCCTAGTGGCGGCCCATGAGTTCGGCCATGCCCTGGGTTTGGAGCACTCTGAGGACCCTGGAGCCCTCATGGCACCCATCTACACATTCACCAAAACCTTGAGGTTGTCTGATGATGATGTTAAAGGCATCCAGGAGCTCTATGGTGAGTGTGAAGTGTGGAAGACAATATTGAAATTATCAGCTGCAACTTATGCAATTTAGTACTTGCATTAAGTTCATCATATTTGTGTATTCTGATGTTGTGATGATTATAATCATATTTAAAGTATTTACAAGTATTTTTGTCTTATTTATTCCTCTTTACACATTCTCTGTACAGGTGTACCAACAGACAAACCATTGCCCACTGAACTCCCACCGGTCACGCCAATGGATGTATGTAATGAAAACATTATATTTGATGCTGTAGCCCAGATCAGAGGAGAGATCTTCTTCTTTAAGGACAGGTAACTAAGGACACCCAGTTCACAGAAAGGCCTGAATGATGTTGTTAATGTTAACCTTATTTCCGAGGTGAATAAAAAACAACAGGGTATATTCAGGCAGGATCACAGTACTGCTTACTTTTGGCTTTTTGTCCACAAAACATCTATGCAATAATTTGCAGGCACACAACTGTGGTTAGCAGTTATTTCATTTTAACATTTGCTGGCAGGGAATACTCAATTCATCTGTTTTCAGTGGTTTCAATTTTTTATTTTTGCTTGCATGCACTGGAAATGGCCCCATGGCCATCTGGGGAAAACTTCATGACTCAGTTTATCTGCCTATTAAAAAACTTCAGCATATCTTTTTGAAATCAGTATGGATGAGTACTGGCTTTATAGTGGTTGGAATAACAGGATGTCGATTTAAAGAGGAGAAGAATCATGCTGATGCTTTAGCCAAATTGTTAGTCCAGAATTCAAATGAACTCAAACAAAGTAAGTGGTGGCGAGAGTGGGTAGACAAGGGAAAGTCCACAAATCTGAACCCACATCCCAAAATCAAAATACCTCAACATAGACATTACCATATCAGGGGGCATTTTTATTCCTTTGAGCACATTGTTTTTGTCTGGCTGAATTTTGCTAGGATGATTTAGTGGGAGACTAAATTTGCTGACTACTTTAACGTAGTACATGATCATGACCAAGTAAACACTTTCCACATCGCTGACTACAGACATAACAAATTGTTTACCTTAAAACTCTCAACTGATAATTAGTCAAGAATCTCTGTTATAGTACCATTCAGGGTACCTCTACTACAGTATTGAAGTTGCTTGGGTTATCCTGGTTATGTGGGTGCCTGAGAAACAACCTAAATACATCTGTTACATCCATTTAAATATAATTTACTAATACTAATATGTATTTTTCAATTTTGTAATACTATCCATGCTCCACACTTTTACTTATATAATCAGTGGTAAGTGTCAGGAATGTTAACATTTTGGAAGGGTGTCCAAAGCAAATATAAGGAGAGTATAAAGAGTGCTGTCATTGGTTTTCACCAACATGCTCAGGGATCAGGAGCTCTGGAACGAAAAAGAGCCACCCACTATTCTACACACACATCCTTAAATTTAAAGCTGACTGCAATGTGGTTATAGAGATCATCACGGGACCACACACACACACACACTGAAAAGAGTGTATGGTGGGTGTGAGTGTCTGTCTGTATAGCACTCAGTGGGCTCTTATACCCTCTGAGCAAGATCCTGAAATACTGATCTAAAGTATCCAGATCATGTTGATTCCAAAAATCAAAATAAATTCTGTCATTTCCTTTATCTTTAGTCATCTTTCTCTCTGACGGAGGAAAATGGGGGAAAATGTAATAGTCTAATTTTCCCCCTCATCTCACAATGTTGATTTGTTATTCGTTTTACCAATGCTTTTATTCAAAAATATTTATCTATTATTTTATTTATTTGTTGGCTTGTTTGTTTAAAATAAATATCCAACTATTATAATTGTTTGGAATAGAAATATAACAAGTCTTAAAATTCAAATTGTACATTTATAACACAAAATGCTTTAAAAAAATAATCAAGTTACAATATGCAATCTAATTATTGATATAACTTTGCATCATGGCGATTCCTGCCTATGGTAGTTTAGCTTAAAAATCAATCTTCCCCAAGTGTCTGAACCTCTCTCCCTATTTTGGCTGATAAATATTATTTGTCTGTGCAGGCAAGGAGTCAAATGGTTCAGCAGTGGAAATGTCATTATCATAGAGTTATGATCAAATTACAGCGTAATTCTGTGAATCTGAGGATCCCTGGAGCTGCAAGTCTCACTTTACTGTGTGGGCAAAATGACTTGAGATCTCAGATATTCACCCAGCTGGAAAAATGCGACAGCTGTTTAAGCCATTTCACAGAGAAAATGGGAGAAGTAGAGAGTAAGGCCAGAGAGCGCACCCCCAAAGGGTTCACTAATGTTTTGTTTATTCAGCTGCACTAGAAAGTCTTTATTTTATCTCATCTTTGGCTCAGATTTATAAGCCACATCTGAGGCATTTGATAAAATTAATTCTTCTTCTGTCTCATATCGTTTAATTTCTAAGACAGCTGCAAATAAGAGCTGAACTCAACTAGTGTTTTAACTACAAGAGTGTTCTGTTCTTACATGTTTAATTGCATAGGCAGAGAAGGGAGGGATGTTCAGAAGTGTTTGCACTAGAAGAAGTGGAGCTTTGGGGCAAAATGTTTGATTACAGTTCAACTCTAAACTAGTGCTGTGATCTGAAGATTAAAATAAAGTGAAATAACTGCCGACAGAGGCTGTGTGCTGCTCACAGAAGCTTTTCTTCACTCTAGTGAGCTGCATTCACTTGAAAGTCCTGAGATCTCTGTCTTCTTCTCTGAGGATGAACTCTTTTAGCCTTTTGAAAAATAGGTCAGTGGAAAGAGGTCTGGGGTGGTTGGTATTGTTTTTGTGGTTTATTCTAGGGCAGGAGGCAAGTTTGGACATGTCCAAATGCCTCTTAACTCATTCTTCAGCCATAATAAGAAACATCTGCTCAGTGAATCACCTCATTGTAGCTAGAGTTCGGCACACGCTGTCTCTTTCTGTCTTACTTGCTTATTTTATCACCCTTCTCTCCGTGCACAAGCATATTGGGGAAGTCGTGGCCTAATGGTTAGAGAGTCGGACTTGTAACCTGAAGGTTGCAGGTTTGAGTCTCAGGTCTGGCAGGAATTGTAGGAGGGGGGAGTGAATGAACAGCTCTCTCTTTCACCCTCAATACCACGACTGAGGTGAGACCCTTGAGCAAGGCACCAAACCCCCAACTGCACCGTGTGTGTGTGTGTGTGTGTTCACTACTGTGTGTGGGCACTTGGATGGGTTAAATGCAGAGCACACATTCCAAGTATGGGTCACCATACTTGGCCACAAGTCACTTCACTTTTCACTTTTTTGTTTTTCACTTTCATATTGTTGCCCTGTCTAACTCCTGTTATAGATTCCTCTTCAGGACTGCTGATGTCAGGAGGAAGCCAACAGGCCCCATGCTGGTGGCTACATTCTGGAGTGAACTTCCAGAGAAGATTGATGCAGCTTATGAGAATCCTTTAGAGGAGAAGACTGTCTTCTTTGCAGGTAAAGGACAGAACTGGGTGTGACACTTACGCTTGATGGCAGTGAATACAAAAATACATGAGCAGAAATGGCAAGAAAAACTGTTGATCATAGAATTTAATCCATAGCAGGTTGCAGAAAACATTTTTAGCAATTTAAGTTAGCACAGAACCTACCAAATCTAAAATTTCACACATTTATATATTTTATCCACAATCCATCTCTGTATACCCGCACTCTTCACATACTGCTACTATAAACTAGAGACCTGCGCGGGACGGATTTTTCAGTCCC